CAATCAAATTCTGAAGTAGGGCGTTCTTGAAAAGTTTCCTTAGATAGGGCGTTTTCGAACTGGCTGCCGAGATAGGTCGATCTTCAACTCAGCCATCGATATGTGGTTATCGTCATCATATTATACGAAAATGTCATCAACATACAACTTTGTGAGGAGGCGGATGCCAACTCCTGTGGAGTTGCACTATCGCTCATTTACTTCAGTAGTGCCATAATCCAAGAAATATAAATTTTGAGTTGAGTATGCAGAAATTACCGCCAACCGCTGTGGTGTAGTGGAAAGCGGAGGGCGCGCAGAGAGATCGTCCCTCGGCAGGCAGTGGCAAACCTCCGAGTGTATTTCTTAGTTAACGTCGCAATCACCACTCAAATAGACTGGCTAAAAAATGTGGGCCTTTCTCTAGTCGAGAAGAAAAAAGGAGCGGTTTTGATAAGCAGGCGCAAGAAGGCAAAGAAATGATGTCGCCGCCGCGTTCCCTTGGGGTGCAGGCATATCAACTTTCTTGAAAAATCTATTGAGTAGTAAATTATTAAAATCGATAATTTATACCTTTATACCTTTATACCTTTCCATATTTCTTCATTTTTGCAAATATTAAAACAATCCCGCTTCCAACAGAAAACTGTGCCAGAAGTATGATAGTGATGAGCATAGCATTGCAATAATCGATTATTTGTCCCCTCCAACAGAGCTAAGGGCGCATACAGTGTAGGTAGACATATTGTACATACATATGTACATTCAACCTGCGTTTATCGCTTATTACAATTTTGTAAAGATTAATTATTTATTCGTACAATATTTTTTATTTGGATTTTCCTAAATTTAGAAAAAATCTAGAAATAGCTAAAAGATTTCCAGAAAAAAATCTAAAAAAAAAGCTAGCAACTAAATTCGAATTTTTCTAGCTAAACGGCGAAAAGAACAGCTAAATCTAGCTGGAAAATATCTAAAATGGCAACACTGGTTTTAAAAAAAGGAAATCAATGCTAATTAAAGAGACTATCTAATCCATACACTGGCCTAACTGAAAAATTTGTATTCAAGCGTGGACCAAAAAAAATAAAAATTTAAACAATTTACATGAGAACCGTAGCTCCTAAAAACTTTTAGCCAAGAGATCTGAAAATTAGAACATTAAAGTTGCAAATTTTTTTTTTTTTTCTAAGTCTCAACACGACCATTTTTTATCGAAATACAGCCTTTCATAAATTACGAAAAAATTTGATTTTTTTTGCTTTTTTGAGTACATAGTATATTATCTACCGACGTTGGTATGTACATATTCTCTTCCATCGAAACCAGATAAATTTTCGCAGACCCCGCTTACAACTCGTGAACAAATGAAAGGTATTTTTGAGAATATTAGTCCGGAGGTATTTGCGATGAAGATTGCATGTATTTTTAATACAAAAATCAATTTTGTTAATAGCAATAAGCATTTTTTGTATGCGCTCAATATATTTACTCTTCATACCAGCGTATTTTCAAATAGGGTTGCAACCAAAATGTATCTAACAAAGTGTTATTGAATTTGACATTGCTCTCATAAGTAACCATCCTATAAAGTTGAATTCAAGGCGAATTTATATAAGGTGGTATCGATTCAACAAATACAACATTTACTTGTATTTCGTTTTTGCTTTGAGCGGGCCATTGATCAAGCTTTAGCTATTCTTCCCCGAAGGGAAAAGGTTGACAGAAAATACAAACACTCTCACGTTTTCACTCACTCACTAGCGAAATACAAAATTTTGACAATCACCCGCTACTCACAGCTGATGAAACAACACCACCTTATATAAATTCGCCTTGGTTAAATTGAAACAAATTTTATGAATTTTGAATCGTTTGTTTATATTTTTTGTCATTATAGTGCCTTAAAAGAGAGCCCCACTGAGTTGTCAATCACACCTTGATTGCAACATAATTTTAAAAGTAAGAAATTTGCTTTTTTCATAAGATATCCAAAGCCAAATTTTTATTCATTGTTTTCTAAAAGTATCCTTTTCAAAGGCTATGTATCTAACTAAACCGTATACGATATCCAAAACTTGAAAACTTAAAAAAATATATGTATGCTCTTCGAGCAAAACTCGGTTAACCTGGTACTAAATATATATATATAAGTCAAAATTGTAAAGCGGTAGTACAAAAAACAAAAACGGAGTTACATGCCGCTTTTTAAAAAAGCCCTACCTGTTTTTTAAAATGTTTTTTCCTTATCCTGTCAAATAAAAGAATTTTTGGTTAGGGCCTTTGTGAATTAGGGTAACGATATGTAGTATGTATATTTAGCATTCTGCATGCACCTGAGGTTATCTTCGTTCTTTGGCGGTATAAGTGCGATAAAATTATTTTTAAAGAGATTACCCCACCTGGCTGTAGATCATAATAATTCAGGCCGGGCATAAGAACAGTTTTATGGCTTTATGCTAGCTATAAAGTGCGACAAACAAATCAATAAAAGTGGCACTAAAGTAATTAAGGAATAGATATTTAGGTATGCATGCACTAAATAAATGTGCACTTTTCGTATAAATATTTGGAATTTATTCCACAAACTCCGCAACCAACAAAGTGCTGCAATTTACTAATGAACCTTACATTCATTCATGCAGGATGTTTTTCAGCCACAAAAGTCTATCTATACCTACGGTGACCAGATTTCTTTGGCCAAACATCGGGACATTTCTAAAGCATTGAATACGAGCATACATTTTTTTTTTTAGAATAAAAAGCGGTGTTTTCTGGAGCTTTTCGGCCGTTGAGTTTAAAGCAAAAACGTTGGTTTTTCTTTTCTGCCTCCTACGCGTTTCGACACATTATTGTGTCTTCCTCAGTCTATTTATTTTTACAAAAAAACAGAATTAACAAACGTGTATACATAAACATGTTTTTCAAACATAGTAACATAAAATCACATAATTTATTTTATGGACATCACATTCTTAAACTAACACTTAAAATTTCAATACATCAATACTTTATCCCAGCTGTTCGTCTATTCTTCGCTGTGTATGCGCAATTTATGTTGTCCACAGAAGAGAAAATTAAAACCATCTTATACAAAAACGGATACCCTAGCGCGCTCATAGAAAGATTCATAGCAACAACAATATGAAGACTAAAAATGATAATAGAATATTTACTTTTTCATAATAACGATATTTTCTAGGTCCGCCAAACCCCCTAGAAAATGTCTGAAATTGCAATAGGGGATAAATAAAAAATCTTTAGTATTAAAAAATTCTTAAAAAAAATAATTGAATATTATTATTGGGAATCTCCTTAAGAGAAACAGAGTTTTCCGGTCGAAAAGTATTGATTTTCAAGAATTCTATACCATTTCTATGAAAAGTTGTTTTTCACATAAAAAATACATGGGAAACACTGAGCGTTTGAGCGACCTCTAAATATTTTTTTATTTCAAAATAAAAAAATTGGGGTACATTTTTTCGATATGGAACAATCCTAGGGGGTGAGCGTAAAAATTCCGACTTTACTTTTTCTCATGCATTTTTGGACCACCCTAATGTACATACAAAAAGATTCTTACTTAAAATAACAAAAATTTGTATTTCAAAAAAAAAAAATCTGGCAGCCCTCATCTAAATATATTCGGAATAAAGTTATCAAAAATACCTTTCATTGGGTATCCGTATTGTGATGTTTTAATTAAATTTTGTAGAATCGAAAATATGTGGCAACTTGTAATAATATCCTCAGGGATAACACTTAGTATATAGGCAAAGCAATGTTTAAGAATCTTCTTTTAGTATCCATGA